TGAAGCGCTACACTGGGAGCCTGATGCTACCCCAGTGTTGCGGGTATGATCTGGATATATAGGCTTGGGAGCTGGAGGGCAGAGGGGTGGATGCCTGGAGCTTCCCTTCCCTCCTGACCTCGCTGTTCACAAGAATCTTTTCCCAGAGGAACGTCACTGCAGCTGCTGAGAGCTTTGGTTACAAGATCTTCAGCAGCCTCTTGTCGGTAATGCTCCCATGTGTTGACCTGTCAGTGTGCATATGCACAGATTATGTCTGTGTACATGAGCATCCCAGTGTGAGCACATAGGCATGTGCCGGTATGTGCCTGCATACCTAACAACGGTGTGCACAGCTGAGGTGTATGTTATCCCTGCAAGTGTGCCCATATATGTGCGCCCATCCCTCGAGTGCCCATCCCTCTTCAGCCCTGCTGTGGGATGTGTACCTGTGACCGTAGGAATATGGATGGAGGCCTCCCACCCTTACCTCTGATCGCTAGTCTCTGACTGGGCTGTGACTGCCCCATCTTTGCTCTCCTACACCAGGTGGCTGGACTCTTGCCCCTGCTTCGAGATGTATCCCATAAGCCCTTCACAATGCTGTGGCCCACAGACTCGGCGCTGAGAGCCTTGCCTCCTGATCGCCAGGCCTGGCTATACCATGAGGACCACCGTGACAAGCTAGCAGCCATTCTGCGGGGCCATATGATCCGCAATATTGAGGTAAGTGCATCCCCAGACCTTGGTCCTCATTGTCTGTGGCTCATCCTGCCTCTTCGGCTCCAACCATGGCTCCATCTGCTCAGGCCTTGGCATCTGACCTGCCCAACCTGGGTCCACTCCGAACCATGCATGGAACCCCCATCTCCTTCTCTTGCAGCCGCACCCGGCCAGTGAGTCTTGGGAAAGGGTTTTGATGAGGGAAAGAGAAGCAGGGGCCTTGGCAGGGGCAGGTTGCAGATACTTGTGCCCTCATGGATCCTACATCTTCCCCCTGCAGGGTGAGCTCACAGTGGGTGAGGATGATGCCCACATTGTGCAGCGGCACTTGCCATTTGAGGGTGGCCTGGCCTATGGCATTGACCAGCTTCTGGAGCCACCTGGCCTTGGTGCTCGCTGTGACCGTTTTGAGACCCGGCCACTGCAACTGGTGAGGGAGGCCAGAGGTGGATGGGTAGGAGCCCACTTGACCCATGAGACATCACTTGTGGTGTCTGTTCACTTGAATTTGCTGTGTTGGCCTCCATCCTTTCCAGAAGATCTGCAGCATCTGTGGGCTGGAGCCACCCTGTCCTGAGGGCTCACAGGAGCAGGTAGGGGCCAGGGGCTGAGTAGGGCACTGGGCAGGGCAGGGCCTAGGAACCAGCAAACTCAAACTGTCTGTGGATGGACTCCTCTTGGCCCAGGGCAGCCCTGAGGCCTGCTGGCGCTACACAAGGTTCTGGATGTCTCCTCCACTGCGTTCTTTGGCACTACGTAGAGTCTGGGGCCAGCCTAGCCTCTGGGGCCAACCTCAAAGCCGGGGCATGGGCTGCCACCGCAACTGCGTCACCACTACCTGGAAGCCCAGCTGCTGCCCTGGTCACTATGGCAGTGAGTGCCAAGGTGAGCCTCCTGAGGTTGCAGACACTGCTAACTAGCTCCTCTGGCCCCCAAGATAGCAGAGAGCATGGAGATGGCTATTGTCCCTGAGTGTTAGGTAGCTCTAGGGCTGGGGAGGTCTGGACAGTGAGATTTTACTGGAAGGAATGCTGGAAGAGGTGTGAAGGGAATGTAGATGGTACAGCCTGATGGGGAGTGTTGAGGGTGTCTGGATATTCTCCAGGACACGGGCCTGGAGGGTTCCTAGCAGTGGGGAGACAGGGGTGGGGGCCAGATGGTAGGGCTAGGCTTAGGGGTATATGTGTGGGAGTCTTGGTGAGAGCCTCTGCTCCACCTAACTTCTCCCACCCTCTCCGTAGCTTGCCCTGGTGGCCCCAGCAGCCCCTGTAGTAACCACGGTGTGTGCCTGGATGGCATGAGTGGCAGTGGGCTGTGTAGGTGCCGTTCAGGTTTTGCTGGGACAGCCTGTGAACTCTGTGCTCCAGGTGCCTTTGGACCCAGCTGCCAAGGTGGGCTGTCTCTACCTGCCCCCGTCCCCCATTCCCTCGGCCCTGTGTGCTAACTAACTCTGTCCTTCTGCTGTCCCTCCGTCTAGCCTGCCGCTGCACTTCACATGGCCACTGTGATGAGGGCCTTGGGGGCTCTGGCTCCTGCTTCTGTGATGAAGGCTGGACTGGGCCCCTCTGTGAGGTGCAGCTGGGTGAGTAGCACTTATGCTTGTGTCCCACTGCCTGGCACACTGTGTACACTTGCACACGTCATTGCATGCCCCAGCTTCCCTCAGGTGAAGGCAGAGAGGGTGGATAGGACAGGTGGAGGCCAGGAAGGCAGCTTCTAACTTGGTAATGGGCCTTGGGGGACAGAGCTGCAGTCTGTGTGTACCCCACCCTGCGCACCCCAGGCCATGTGCCGTGAGGGCAACAGCTGTGAGTGCGGCCTGGGCTATGAAGGAGATGGCCATTTGTGCACAGGTAAGAGATGGGTGGGGACATGAAGGCAGGATGTTCCCATTCCCCTGCAGCCACTGGGTATAACCACTCCCTTCCTGCCTTCAGTGGCAGACCTGTGCCAGGATGGGCATGGTGGCTGCAGCAAGCATGCCAACTGCAGCCAGGCAGGCACAGTGGTCACCTGTACCTGCCTTCCCAACTATGAGGGTGATGGCTGGAGCTGCCAGGCTAGAAACCCCTGTGCAGATGGCCACCGTGGGGGCTGCAGCGAGCATGCCGACTGCCTAAACACTGGCCCGGTGAGCAGGTGGGGGAGCCCAGCAGCCAGGGTGGGGAGGCCCCACAGATTACCTCCCTGGTCTCTGAAAGTCCCCACTGCTCTCCCCACCCACAGAATACACGGCGCTGTGAGTGCCATGAAGGCTATGTGGGTGATGGAATACAGTGTCTGGAGGCCCTGGAGCCACCTGTGGACCGTTGTTTGGGCCAGCCACCACCCTGCCATGTGGACGCTATGTGCACTGACCTTCATTTCCAAGGTATGCATCCTTGCCTACTTCTAGTGCCTCTGCTTCATCCCTGGTGCCAGCCAGCTAACCATGTACCCCTCCTTTCTGCAGAGAAACAGGCTGGTGTCTTCCATCTCCAGGCCACCAGTGGCCCCTATGGCCTGAACTTCTCAGAGGCAGAGGCAGCATGTGGGTCCCAGGGTGCTGTTCTTGCGTCACTCCCTCAACTCTCTGCTGCCCAGCAGGTATGTGGAACCCAGGAGTTAGAGCTAAGCCTGGGGGTGCCCCTTAATTTGGACATTGAGTCTCAGCATCCCTTCTTGCCCCTACAGCTGGGCTTCCACCTATGCCTTGTGGGCTGGCTTGCCAATGGCACTGCTGCCCACCCTGTCGTTTTCCCTGCGGCAGACTGTGGTCATGGTCAGGTGGGCATAGTCAGCCTGGGTACCCGCAAGAACCACTCAGAGCAATGGGATGCTTACTGCTTCCGTGTGCAAGGTGTGTCAACCCCAAGGCCCGTTTCCCTGGCTCTGCTCCTCCCCTCCCACCCCCTAGTCTGCCCAGCCACTGACCAGCCTTTCCTATAGATGTGGCCTGCCAATGTCGAGATGGCTTTGTGGGTGATGGGATTAGTGTGTGCAATGGGAAGCTCCTTGATGTCTTGGCTGCTACTGCCAACTTTTCCACCTTCTATGGGGTATGTGGTGGCCAAGTTTCAGGGTGGGGGTGTGTAGCCCAGCCAAGATCTCTAGGAGAGAGCCTGCTCATAGCCCTATCTCGGCACCTTCCCAGTTGCTGCTGGGATATGCCAATGCCACCCAGCAGGGTCTTGACTTCCTGGATTTCCTGGATGATGAACTCACCTACAAGACTCTCTTTGTCCCTGTCAATGAAGGTTTTATGGACAACATGGTAACTAGCAGGGGTGCAGGAAGAGCGGAGCCCTAGTCTGTTCCCCCTGGGTGGCTCAGGCTGATAGGTCTTGCTCTGCCCACAGACGCTGAGTGGCCCAGATCTGGAGCTACATGCTTCCAACACCACCTTCCTAAGTGCCAATGCCAGCCAGGGGAAGTTACTTCCTGCCCATTCAGGCCTCAGCCTCGCCATCAGGGATATAGGCTTTGAAAACAGTTCTTGGGCCCCTGTGGTGAGTCTGGCCCTTGCCCCTTCCCCATTGACTCTGACCCTTATTCAATGCTAGGCCTGACTGTGGCCTCCCTGCAGGCCCCAGGGGCAGTTGTGGTTAGCCGTGTCATCGTGTGGGACATCATGGCCTTTAATGGCATCATCCATACTCTGGCCAGACCTCTCCTGGCACCTTTACAGCCTGTGAGTCAGAGGAGTGGGAAGCAGAGCCCTTCTGGCACCTCCCCTGCTATGAGTTGGGAATGAGAGAGAGGGATACCTCTGGTCAGATCCTTGACACTCTCCTTATTTCTAGCGGGCAGTGCTGGCACCTGAGGCCCGGCCTGTGGTGGCAGGTGTGGGGGCTGTGGTAGCTGTTGCAGCACTGCTCAGCCTGGTGGCTGCAGCCCTCTACCTCCGTATCCGTGGCAAACCCACAGGCTTTGGCTTCTCCACCTTCCAGGTAGTGTTTTGTTGAAAGCCATCACCAGTGGGGTCTTTTGATCTTGCTTGAGGTTGTTCACCACTCACTCCTTTGGCCCCAGGTGGAAGATGATGCTGATGATGATTTTGCTCCATGGCAAGAAGGGACCAGCCCAACCCTGGTCTCTGTCCCCAACCCCATCTTTGGCAGCCATGATGCCTTTTGTGAGCCCTTTGATGTGAGTGTGGGGTTGTGGGGGCTGTGGAATGGGCCCAGGTCCTGGCTGGGCCCACCATGAATGGCCCTCCTCCCCCAGGATGCTCTCCTAGAGGAGGACTTCCCCGACACCCAGAGGATCCTCACGGTCAAGTGATGAGTCTGGTGCTGAAGCAGAGACGTGTGCAGATGTGCAGGAAGGAGATCACTTTTATTGCTTGTCTGAACAGATGCCTAGACTGGATGATGGGGCAAGAAGGGTGGGAGGGGGGACCTGTCCCCAACAATAAAGGTGCCCTTAGCGGATGTGGGCCATGTCACCAAGGAAGGGTGTCTTCATGCAGCCAGTGCATAGCTGGTCCATCCAGAGAGGTGCCTCGTGTTGCAGGGGTGTGCGGCGTGGGTAGAAGGTAAAGTCCACACGGTAGTTGAGCAGGCAGCTTAGGGAGGCCATGTAGAGATCAGAGAAGCGCACGAGACGCCTCGAGAAGTAGGTGGGGTTGTGGAAGGTGCGGAAAATGCTCCCAAACTGTGCGTTGAATAGGGCCTTGGTGATGCACCTGGGGAGGAAGACATAGGTGCTTAAGGGATAGACCAAGAGGGGCTTGGAAGGGGACTTCTGCCCAGGTCCTTTGCTTACCTCAGTTCCTGCCGTTCCTTCATCCAGGCAGCCAGCACCTGCCTCGACTCTGCATCCTGATAGGTCTGGTGATCAAACAGTATGCATTGGGCCCACACAACCAGGAGCCTGCAGCCCTGGCCCTCCCACCAGCCTCCTGGCCACCACCGTGCACCTGCATGCGCTCCAGTAGCCCTGTGAGTGCCTGCTGCCATGTCAGTGAGTGCATGTACTGCTCCGTGTTGATAATGCGAATCTCACGCTCCAGCTCAGGGATGATGGCACCTGTGCGCCAGCCGTGCCGCAGCATAAGATCCTGATGGATGAAGTGGAGAGCCTCAGCATCAGCTGGGAGCTGCCCTCCCCTTGCAGCCCTGCCCTACGCTGTCTCTCACCGCCAGGTCACTATAGAGGTGGTCTCCAAAGTAGAGCACACGGGGGCCACGCCATTCTGTCAAACGTAGGAAGTCAAATAGGTTTCCCTGGGGATAGAAGGGGACACTGCTAAGCCACACATGGCTTGTCCTCCATCAGTCCTCCCTCCCAAATAATCCCCAGAGGCAGCCCTCATCCTGCCGGATGCTGTTTTTGCCCTTTCTTGTGGCCTTGCTGTCCCCTCTGTGGGTGGGGTCTAGCTACTACTCCTACTTGGGAGGGGGGGTTCTACTTGCTGTAGGAAGGTCTCCTATAGGCCTGGCACAGTGCCTATACCTCAATGGATTCTGTTCCCTGTGACCTTCATGCCCACCCCAGGCTAAGGCTTCAGTCCTCATTTGTGAGAAAAACTGCAAGGAAGGCCTCATGGCCCTGAAGTCCTTGATGGCCTCCCCAGGTTCAGCCCAGAGGGACACAGTGACAGGGCCAATGACAGATCTCACTGGAGCCATGTGATTCTCCTACTCCAGAGCCAGACACTCAGCCAGGCCCACACCCAAGTGGGGAAACTCACAACAGAGCAGAAACAGAGGGACCCAGTGCAGGAACCCAGCAGCACAAGGAGCCCACACCCCAGATGGAAGAGGGACAGCACAGCTCATGGAGCAGTCTGTACATCTGAGAGTCTCAAGAGATAGAAACAGGTGATTGTGGGACAGTTCTTTTTTTTGAGACAGTCTCAAGCTGTCACCCTGGGTAGAGTGCCATAGTGTCATAGCTCACAGCAACCTCAAACTCTTGGGCTCAAGAGATAACTCTTGGCCTCAGTTTTTCTATTTTTAGTAGAGATTGAGGGTAGGGGGTGTCTCACTTTTTTTTTTGCTCAGGCTGGTCTCAAACTCGTGAGCTCAAGCAATCCACCCCCCTGGGCCTCCCAGAGTGCTAGGATTACAGGCATGAGCCATGAGGCATGTCCTGGCTGGGACAACTTAATTGTTGAAGTTCAAGTAGAGAGGCTGAGAAGCAGGTGGGCCCACCGAGGACATGGTCCCAGAGGGCAAAGGAAAACAGGATCAGAGGGAGTGGTGACTGAGAACCAGGTAGGCTCCAACACACATGCTGTGTGAGGAAGCTTTGGAACATCAGGTATAAAAATCAGCCTAAAAGCTGCCAGGGGAAAAAAGTCACACACTTCACACTAAGACGTGTGACTCTCTTCAGTCCTGGCCAGATGCCAAGGTAAAGCCCCTGAGGCTGGGGGGATGCACCTGTGCCTGATAGGCCATGGAGCTGGTGCCACAGGGTGGGAGGCCCAGTAGCAAGGGTAAGAGGGTGGGGCCATTAGCCATGCCCATGCTGCTCTTCTGGCCACTGCTGGCTTCTCCCTCCCCCACCCAAAGGCCTCTAGACACCCCC